GGAAACAAAACTTCCAGAACACGGCCACACAGCCCGGAAGACCCACACCAGCCATCGTATTCCAGCCATGAAAGCCTTCGACAATACATTTGGGGTAATCTGCTGATATTTTCCACAATATCAATCCACATATTTTTTCAAGAAACAAACTGGCTTAACACAACGTGCAGGTTAGGCAGTGGAAAAGCTTAAGGCAGGGCAACAAGACATAATGATGAGGATGACAACTAAAGAGAGCATTCTGCAGAGGTAACTCCTAAATTCTGGCCAGCACAACTCTCTCCCTAAACCTCAGTACAAGAATGACATTCTTATTTGTCTTTCTGCAGAACTGAAACTTAGCTTCTACAAAGTTTATAGATCAATGTATATTGATTGCCTTATTGTTTAAACGACCCAGGAGATAATCTGGTTTTGGTGAATCCAATTTAAATATACTTTTAAAAATAATTAAATAAATATTAATAATTAAGTAATCTGTAGTTAAAAATAATTTTAAACAAATACAATGTAAAGCTTAAGAAAACCCTTTTGTTAATACCCAAACAATTATGTTGCTTCACTAAGCAAGCTGTGAGTTATTTCTCTTGGTAATAAACCCCCCATTCCAAGTTTCTGAGACAGAAGAGCTCCTTTTGTCAGGGCTAGGTAACTAGGACATCCTTTGGCTGCACATATTTCTGAAGGTAATCTTGCACACAGAGGACCTCTTTCTGCACAAAAGAGGAACATAACTCCTTTACAGATCAGGATGCTCTCAATATGTTAATGCTGGTGCCCAAAATAATATTCTCATGTAGCAGCACTGATAAATGCAGTCAGTGATGCTGATCCTGTGGGCAGAATCAGGAAGTGGGAGAGCATTTCAATTCATACCTGTAAAGACTCCACACTATTACAAGACAGTCTTTGGCCCCAGAGAGAAAATGGCTGCTATCGTCCGTGAAGGCCAAGCAAGTTAAGTCCTGATAATGTCGATTCAGGATAGCAAGTAGATTCCCACTAGATACCTGCAGCAAGAAAAGAGTGGAAATAGAAATAAAGAGATGAGATGGCAGCCTGGAACTTCTCCTGCAAGTGGACAGATTTCATATAAACAGTGTGTAGTACAGAAAGCAACAACTCATCATAGTAATGTTTCTATTAGAGTCGATTAGCATGCCATAAAATGATGTCAGATTTGGAAGCAGCTTTGGATGTCATCTCTCCAACCTAACTTTGCAAGAGAGGATCTGCGAGGCAGGATGTGGCGACAGCAGCTCTGACAGATGGTCACTGGGAGCAAACTTTTTTCATCTATCGAACACTTTACTGCCCCATTTCGCCTGAGCTCCAAAGAATCTCAGAAATTCAAATGCTCGTTTATTACTTTGTGAAGTAACAATTTTAACACAGGAGACTTGTTTTCAGGACTCTTTCTGAAACCTGTGATAGTGACAAGCTGTAGCATATCAGCTGCCGCACTGTAAATTAATTCGCAGTGCTGTACACTAATTGGCTCTTCAGAACTTCAGACAGACACTGATTTACTTTTGTGGAGGGTCAGATTGGTGCCAGTGTTACTACTCTTCTCTCCAAATTTTATCCCTTAAAATAGTGAGGTTGCTGCTATAGGAATGATTATTTGCCTGAGACCTTTTGTGTCCTGCAAGGGAACACAAGGTGATGAGCAGCAAGCTGACGTTCATGGCTGAGTTTTTCATTAAAGGGCCTCTGAGAAATCCTTGACAACCACTATACTTTCTGTGATATGAGTGCTAGTCCAACATCCCGATCCATTTGGAAAGGTTAAGCAATTGACAACCATATCCGTACAGAAAAAAAGCTTTTGAATTCTTAAAACTGATTTGCTTTAGTCTTTTCTATTCCAAAATCAGGTCACTCCAAAGTTAATGAGGTTTAACTCTGGTTCTGTACAACTTCGGACAAATCCGCATTGACTGACAGGCTACCCTGGATCAGGAATCGTAATACTCTGACTGCAAACCATAGGTTGCGCTAACAATTCATGGAATCACAGCCATAAAGATGACGCGGCATTAGAGAAATTAATGGTCTTGCCAGCTGCCACTTTTTATCTAGCGGCTTCCTGCCAAATAGAAATCACTTAAAATGGCTCAGCTTAAAATAATGGCTAACAACCTAATGGACACAATACAAATGGTAAAAAAGACAGGAGAAACAGAAATAATAAAATCTAACGTCTCAGGCTACAACAGGAGAGTGTTAGGAGGCGGGTTCTGGGAATACTGCCTTCGGTGAACCTTCAGAAGATTAGGTGGTAGAGCTGTAGCCCTTAACCATCCAACCTCGCCTACCCCGAACAAAATGGTTTCCACTCTTCCACCTACTCCAAAATTTAATGATTCCAAACAGAAGCTGCTCCCAGCCGAGGAATATGGGGGAAGGAGAGGCAGACTCTCCTCTCTTTTGATGCAGCCATCTGGAAGGGCTGCTGCTGGAAGCAAATGAAGAAGGGGAAAACCCCGATAGCACTAGTTTGCCAAGGGAAAGTGGGAGGATCTCGCCTCAGATGCAGCAAAGGGGAAGGTTGGTGGGGTAGAACCATCTCCCCCCTCTCTCTGATGCGTCTGGGCAGGCTGGATGCTAATTGTTCCGAAGCTCTGAAGATGGCAAAAGAGCTACATTGTCAGAGAGGGAGCTGTCAAAGAACGGTGGTGGTGCAGGGCATTTTTCTATGCCTTGTTTGCAAGCTCCCCCAAAACATGAATTTGGTTGCTGTTGGAAACGGGAATCCTGGGACAGCTAATCTTTGTACAAGAGGACCACTCTTGTACTCCTCCATGTAGGCTGGCATGATGTCTGAAGTCAGGGGGAAAAAACGCTGTTTCAACTTCATCTCCATCCTTAGAGTTTCCTGGGTCATAGAAAACAGAAATGCTTCATAGACCAAAAAAAAAAAAAGCAAACAATCTTAAGTGATGCCAATCTTGCATGAGCTGCTCCGAGAGCCACATGGGCAGAGTATGGAGTAAAAATGCTTTAAATAAATAAATGCTTTGTTTTGTTTGGGGTTTGGAAATGCAACCACTGGCCTGGATAGTAAATTATGATTGAGTCAATAAACTACAGGTAGTTCTTGACTTATGACCACAATTGGGATGGAATTTCCATCACTAAGCGATGCAGTCATAAAGAGAGACATCACATGACCGCATTGGGGGAAGGAGGGTGCTGGTGCGTGCGAGCAAACAAATGGGGAAGGAGAGCACTGGTGGTTGCGAGCGAGTGAGGGGGAAGGGAGGGCAGTGGTGTGTGTGAGTGAAAAAAGGGGGAGGAGGGTGCTGGTGCGTGTGAGCGAGCAAAGGGGGGAGGA